TCCAAATGATAGGGGTTTTATCCTTCTTAATTGAACTACGTAGGTAACTGTTCAGCGGCGATTGAAGTTTGGCTGCTTTTGGAACTGATTTTCTGTAGTAGTTCAGCATTCCGAGAAACCTACAACGTTCCAAAACTGTTGATGGTTGTGGAAAGTTCAAGATCTTGTCCACCCGGTCTCTAGATAGTGGATAGCCATTCTCACTAAGCTTGTAACCCAGAAAATCTACTTGGGACTTGCCTAGAACGCATTTGTCGCTGTTGATAGTCACATATATAAACGCAAAGTCAATATCTTGGATTATGTGGTTTATATATCGCTGGAAAGTCTGAGTGGCATTCTTCAGTCCAAAAGGCATGCAGAGGTACTCATATAATCCCCACGGAGTTATGATGGCAGTCTTCTGAATATCCTCTTCATGCATCGGCACCTGATGATATGATTTGGCAAGATCTATGGTAGAAAAAAATGTTTTACTGTGAAGATTTGTGAAAACATCACTTATTAGTATAGGAGGGTATTTATCTGGTAGAGTGCTTGCGTTAAGTTTCCTGTAATCACCACAGAGTCTATATTATCCATCTTTTTTTTGAAATCATATATATTGGCCATCCCACAAACTGCTTGAAGGCCTTAAAATACCCCTGTTCAGGAGCTTTTGCAGCTGATGCTTTTTCACCGAAAATCTTCCTGAACCTGGCAGCAACTGGTGGGACTAGAGCATTATGGGAATCCTGTGGGCAAAAGGATATGGTTTTATTGTTGATCTCTGTAGTGTTGTAGTAATGGTTATGTATTTATTTAGTAGGCTTCTGAAAGGTTTCTGTGGATTAATGGTAGAAATGTTGATGTTCTGCGTCTTCTGCACTTTGCCGTCAGAGGATAAGCCTGTGGCCGAATCAATCAATCTCTTGCCTTTCAGATCTATGAGCAAATTGTAGTGGCTTAGCAAGTCTGCACCGATTATGGCTGTTGCCACGTCTGTTATAGTGAACTGCCAAGTGATGAATCTGCACAGTGAAAGGTCCAGCTCAAGAGTCTGCTTTCCATAGGTGGATATTCGACTGGAATTGGCTGCATACAGAACAAGCTCTTCCTTGGCACGACCGGTTACTTGCTTCTAGTGTTGATGGTGACGTTAGTTTTCCGGGTTTAGGAGAGTTTTAACCAAACATGGTTCAATGCATCTAGTTGCCTTCTCCCCAAACCTGCTGTGATAGATCCATACCTGCGATTTGGACAGCGTCTTTGATCTACTTCTCCTGTGCCTGGAGTGACTTCTGGTCCTGCTTCTCTCTTTATGTTTTTTGGTATTTTTCAGATTCTTGACCTCTGTTATCAAAGCATTGAGTTTCTGCATCATGGCAATCAGGATGTCCTGGGTGCGGACACTTCTTTGTTCTGGTGCTCAGTTTGCTGTGGCTATCACTGATGATGGCAGTCCACAAGTGTCTATCAGCCTGTCTGCCATCTCACCAATGGCTTGTAGTCCAATAATATTTGATACAAGCAGTAGAGTCCGGATGTGCTGTGGAAGTCTGTCCAACCAAAGTTTGTGGATGATGTCCTCACTGATTTCACTCCGAGCCAGATCAATCATTTCCCGGAGCAGCTGGGCTGGCTTTTTGTCCCCTAGGACCATGTTTGTTAATAGTTTATCCACTTGCCTTGATCTTGACTCGGATACTCGGTCCAGGATTATGCTCTTCAAAATATTGTATTTGTCTTTGGTTGGCGGCTTTCGCAGCACATCGCTCATCAGGTGCAACAAAGCACCCAATATCACTTCGTGTCGTCGCTCCTGATTCTATCTCCTTGAAACTCTGCCTCAATCAACAAGAACCACATTTCAGGAGAGTCTTCCATGAACGGGATTATCGTATGCCTGTCCACGTTGAAAACTTGTTCAGATTTTAAGTCATGGTACTCTTTTGAGTTGGAGTTATTCCCAATTGGCGTGCGAACTTCAGCTTCGTCCAGATCGATGAGCGATCTGTTCAAATCTTGCCAAGCTTTTGTGATTGAAGGTGAAGAGATTGTTATTTAATATAGTGTACCTCGCTTATATTATGAAGTTCAGAATCTCAGCCGCGTGTTTCTTCAGTCGGAGTCACCAATTATATAGTCTTACAAACTATATATAAATTTTATAAACGAATAAAACACGATTTAACTTCGATGATGATTTAATTTGATCAGAAAATACGAACATGTAAATTTGCGAGATCAAACAATATTTTTACGACGTATAAACAAAAGATTATTGTGATTACTTAGATAACTTTTGTTTTATTAATTATGGCTAGATGCCAGGGTACGCCATAGATATAGTTATAGTTGGAGTTTGTGCCTATTGTTTTGGTTAAAGAAATGAATTTCTTGCAGAAAATGGATCTAGTAGGATTTTGATGTTTTGGTACTTTAGTTTGTTGTAAACTGTTTTCTAAAATACTGATAATTTTTATGAAATTAAATTTGCGAGTATTGTTAGGGACTGCAAAATTTGGACTCAATGCAAAAATGTAACGCAATCTTTCAGAAATCTCTACGTTGGAAAAATTCTTTAATCATTTGTTAATTGTGTTATCGTCTAATACAATTTTCGTTGTTTCTAATTTAATTTGGTAAAATTTGTCGAATTTTCTTCTATAAGAGTTTTTAAGTTTTGATGATAGCTCATTATTTCTAATGTCTTCGAAATATAGAAAGTTATTTAAGATTTCAGTTCGAACAACCTTTGACAGCCTATTTGTTATTCGTTCAACAATAATTTTCAAATTATTTTATATATATATGTGGCGATGTACTATCTTCTTCTCTTCCTTGTGTCCACTGCGAGCTCCGGTAGGCAAGTGAAGGGCCGAGTATTGCTGCGCTGTGGTTTTATACCATAGAGGATAACGGTGCATGGCAGGGACGCGCAACCTGACGTAGTGCGCCAGGGCTGTGCAACCTTATCCTATATCACCCCCCCGCTGAGTGTGTTTGGCTCGAATATATAGGCTGGTTTTGCTCTATCGATCGATATCTTAGTTTCCTTGCCGTTTCTAATCACTGTCATAGTTTTATCCGAACGGCCCACTACTTCGTATGGTCCTGTGTACGGCGGTTGTAATCCTGTCCTTATGGTGTCTTCCCGGATAAAAATTTGTCGAGCCGTTGATAAATCCGGGTGGACAAAGCTGTAATTATTTCCGTGATTCGAAGCGGGCGTTGCCTTGAGCGTTTTGACCGTTTGTCGAAGTTTTTTGAGAACCTGGTGTGTGTCTTGTGTGTTCTGATGGTCTTCGAAAAATTCTCCTGGAAGCCGAAGAGGTTCGCCATACACCATTTCAGCTGGAGAAGCTTGCAAGTCTTGCTTCCATACAGACCGCAATCCGAGTAGTACTAGCGGCAACGCATCCAGCCAGCTCTTATTGTTGTGGCACATAATAGCTGATTTAAAGGATCTGTGAAAACGCTCGACCATGCCGTTTGCACTGGGGTGATGTAAAAGAGTAGCATTTGATAGGCTTTCTTTGCAATTAATAAAAGCCTGCTGAAGTTGCTCGTTCCATTCTATGATAGTGTTATTTTTAACGTTTGGTCCTTCTAGCAGTTTTGAAATGGAGCTTGCAATTCAGCCGCACGGGGAATGCATCGGCGAAAATAATTAATCATTCCTAGAAATCTGCGCAATTCTTGTATGTTAGTAGGAGGTTTGATTCTTACAAGAGCTTCCACTCGTTCCTTAATTGGGCGTATACCATCTTTAGAGACTGTGTATCCCAAAAAATCAATTTCCGGGACACTAAATATGCATTTCTCACAGTTGATTATGATACCATACTGCTGCAGTCTTTCGAAAATGCTTCGTAGATGTGCTTTACCGGGTATCTGTCTCTATGGTATAAAACCACAGCGCAGCAATACTCGGCCTTCACTTGCCTACCGGAGCTCGCAGTGGACACAAGGAAGAGAAGAAGATAGTACATCGCTACATTGGTGACCCCTGACGTGAGAATAGTCGAGCATGTCAAAACCGGAGAAGCCAGAGCAAATATCTTTCCCGCCATCGCAGGTCGAAAGAGTCGGTGTCAAGGTTCCGCCATTTTGGCCTGAAAAGGCTCAGCTATGGTTTGCTCAACTTGAGGGACAATTTGCGCTTTCGAATATATCAGCTGACACTACAAAGTTTTATGTAGCAATCGCATACTTAGAGACGCAATACGCAGCCGAGGTTGAAGACATTATTTTGAAACCACCAACAGAGAATAAGTATGAAACACTGAAATGTACTCTCATCAAGAGAGTATCGATGTCAGAAGATCGCAAGTTAGAACAGTTACTGGACAGAGAAGAAATCGGCGACAGACGACCATCGCAGTTTTTGCGTCATTTGCGCGCACTAGGCGGGTCAAAAGTCGACGATAGTATTCTCAAGATATTGTGGATCAGGCGGCTACCAGAAAATATTCAAGCCATCATATCAGCACACGACAATCTCGAGTTGGATAAAATAGCAGACATGGCGGATAAAATCGCCGATATATCGTTGCAGCATCAAATCCAAGCAGTTAGTAAACAAGTTCCATCCACGTCTAAAGAAATAAATCATACCATTTCAGAACAAATTTTGGAGCTTCAAAACCAGAACGCTACATTAAATTCGAAGATTGACTTGTTAGCTAAGCAAGTTGAAGCCCTCACCCAAGCCAAGTACCGAACCTTACCATCGAGGTCGAAGGTCGTGCATCCATCTCCACGTGGCTATTGCCAGTACCACTCAAGATTTGGAGCTAAAGCACGGAAGTGTAATGAACCTTGAACGACAGTCAATGAATGCGGCGCATGACTGTCAATTAATTAGTTCAACAAGCCGCCTATTAGTTGTTGACAAAGCATCAAAACAAGAATTTTTAGTCGACACGGGCGCGGATCTTTGTGTATACCCTCGCAGAAAACTGAAAGGGCAGCATCCGCGTACCGAATATACGTTATATACGGCAAATGGTGCGAAAATGGCGACCTATGGGACAGTACAATTAATTTTGAACTTCGGCCTTAAACGGAATTTTTCTTGGAAGTTTGTGATAGCCGACGTCGAGAAACCCATTATTGGAGCAGATTTCTTATCATTTTATAACTTATTGGTAGATCTGCGCAACAAACGGCTACTAGAGGGAGATACAAAAGCACAAATGATGGGAAAAGTAACAGATGCAGTCGTCCCAACTGTTAAAACCTTGCGAAAGGAGCACCACAGCCTATTGCAAGAATTTCCGGATATTACCAGACCTCAAAGAGCACCTCACAAAGTGAAGCATTCAACAACACACCACATCAATACAACACCAGGGCCTCCGATTTATTTTAAACCAAGACGGCTCAACGCGGAACGCCTTCAAATAGCTAAAACAGAATTTGAAGAAATGGTGAAGCTCGGAATCGCTCGACGATCAAACAGCCCCTGGGCCGCGCCGCTTCACATGGTACCTAAACGAAACCTCGGATGGCGCCTGTGCGGAGATTACAGGGCACTCAACGCTCGAACTATTCCAGATCAGAAGGCTGCGTGTTCATATCACGTCGGGGTCACCAATGTAGCGATGTACTATCTTCTTCTCTTCCTTGTGTCCACTGCGAGCTCCGGTAGGCAAGTGAAGGGCCGAGTATTGCTGCGCTGTGGTTTTATACCATAGAGGATAACGGTGCATGGCAGGGACGCGCAACCTGACGTAGTGCGCCAGGGCTGTGCAACCTTATCCTATATATATATGGGTCATTCTTTTACAAATCGTACGGATTTTGGTAAAAAAATGTGACATTTTAGAATTTGACACGTATTTCAGGATTTTGTCGACAAAATTTTTTTTCGTTGATATTTACGATCGAAATATTGCCGATTTTCTCAATTTTTATGGACTTCCCCTGCATTATGTTAATTATCTTCAGTTGTGTTGATCAGATCAGTATTGTTTTTTTTATTATATTCATTATGAACACAACTTTGAAGTAATTAAAAAAAAATAATGTTTTTGCATATCATTTTAACAATAATAATAATTGATTGTTTACATTGGTTTTACATACGGGCGCCCCAACTTAAATCGATTTCGTAAAAATCCATATTGTTTCTTGTTTTATCTACTACGAAATTGTTTTTACAATTCGATGGTGAGGCTGTTACATCGGAAGATATTAAATGTTTTCGAGCGCAAGTCGTGCCGCGCGTCCGTTTGAAAGACTCATCGCTCGTATCAAATGAGTACAAGTACTATTTTTAACTAAAATATTTTACAATTTCGTTACTGAGGAAAAATAAATATATTATCTAAAATATGTAGTAAATATTAGTAGTAAATAGCAAATATTTTATACAAAATGATCATATTTTTAAAACTGATAAATTGAAACTTATTATTCGTTGGAATATGAACAAAAGTTAAAATAATTGTCTTGGGTAGATTTGATTTTGTTAAAAAATAAATACAAGAAAATTCGATTAAAAAATAATTCATTTATTGTATTATAATTAAGTTTATATAACATAGCTTCTGTCGATGTACTACATAATATACATTTCAAGTCACAACTTTAACCAGTTGAAAAACAGTTGAATCGCTTTCTTTTTGCGAAGAAAAGTTCTTGGCCCGCACTTTATTTTTTTCAACAGGTATAATACAATGATATTTCAATGTACCTTTCACTGCGACTGCATTTTTAAATCTTGTCTTCAATTTTTTATCGGCAATAATATATTCTTCATTACATATTTCGAAGAAATATTGCAAAGGGACTCATTTGCCTATTCAAATAATTGTTTTGGCGTTTGGATTGGATTTGATGTTCTTTGAAGAGTAGCTCTGGCCGCTGGCCTTTTCAAAGTACCGCCCAATCCATCGCAAGTGCCCTTACCGTGTGACGTTATGAAAAAGTGCCACTCTGCAAACAGACCAAAATCTTTTTCGTGATAAGTAAGATTTACAAAATTCTTTTTATTTTTATACTGCGCACCCGACCCATCAGAAAAGTATATGATTTTTGTAATTTGCTTCAATTCTTTACCAATGAACTCCACTAAATGTTTTTGAAATGCATAAACCGCTACAGTTTCGTGTTGCAGACATTCTGAAATAATTACTAAACTTTTAACACGAACATTATCGTCATTATCTTTGTAATAAATTGCAAATGGATGCATCGTAGCCTGATTATTATTCCAATGAAATCCTTGAGCAGCATCTTGGACAACGAATGAATAATTTTCTGAAAAATCACACACTACGATGCATTCATTCTGTGATAGCTCTTCCTTTTTTTGTCATAAATTCATTTTGTTTTTTTACAAGAAACGAATGTAATAATAATTTTTCCAAAGTGGCCTGCAATTTTTGTAGATATTCGTCTACTGGGGATATCATTAATTCAAGCATAGTTCTATCAACGTTAGTCCACTTTCTGTATCTAATTTCGTCAATATAATTTTTTTCAAAAATATTTTCTAAATTTGTGATCAAATTTTCTAGGCCAGGACACTGGGAGCACTTTCCAAAATAACAAATATTCGTGGGTTCTACACAAATCATATTTTTTAAAGTCATGATAAGATTTCACTGGATCATTAGTGTGGGCAGTAAGATTTTTTATGTCAGATCCTTCAATCATCAATTTAGCATTTTCGTGAATGGTACATACACACACTGAATGGGTGCCACTAGCACCTGCCAGAACGCAATGTTTAGGTCGTAAAGACGCAAATTTCGAAAAGCTGCATTTCTTTCTTGGATATTTTTCTTTAAACAATTGAAAGAATTCCTTCAAATTTATTAACAGTCATCTTTTCTGCATCTGAACTCGTTTACCATCAATTTTAACAGAAACGAAATCCTTCTTCACCGGCATTACACGACGATTCTCATCTAATTCATAAAAATTAGTTACAATGTCAACTATCTCTTTGTCTAAAGACGGATAGCACTTTGGGGTTGTATCGGACAAAATACCCTTTTCAATAGCCATTTTTTTGCCGTTTTAATCATGTGAAAGCGGAAAATGATGTTTAATTTTTCGATAAGACCAATCCTTGAAAATAGTCAACATTTTCATTCTTTTCGAACGATCCGTAGTTCTGTTAAATTCTTTTAAAACGTTTAGCAAATATTTTTCATCATTTTCTTCAACATTACGATCATCTTGTGTAGTTACAGGACGATGAAAAACTTTGTTTGCCAGTGCTTCCGATACATTAATCATTTTATCGTTTGAATACCACCGTTGGGATTTTTTTTTCTTTTTAATAGGCGAAACTCCTAACAGGTTTAAACCCTGGTTCAGTAAATCGATTGCTACAAGTACCACTGAATCATCTTCAAATGGTACATCGGAATTTGCAGAAAAAAGTTCTTTGTCATTGTCATCAGTTTGCAACAAACCATCAGACTCAAAAGAATTGTTTTCTTCATTCTAAAACAAAATTTATTTTATGTGACTTTTAACTTTACTATTTGTATGTAATTATCGAATTAGCTAAACGATAACAAAATCATTAATATTTACCTTTTTTGGCCGTCCTTGATTTGACACCTTCAGCTTCTAATTTTCCGTAATCCGCAATTTCTTGCTCTGTTTATATTTAGTTTTAACGTTCTTTTTTCTGTTTATTTCAAAACTGTAGAACCATTGATGATGTAGAATTTTACAACGAAACGTATGAAGAAATAAAGATGTTTTAAATTTAAGAAATCAATCTATAGATAACACAAACTTTTTACTTGTCCTCTATGCAGATAATGAATAGAAAGAAAACTAAGATATGTTTCTTATAAAATCTATACGTTTTGAGTCTCAATTTGAGTGGCAACAAAACACAAGTAATTAATACACAAAACACAATTAAAAACTTCAGGAGATTATTACTTCGTAACAAAGCATGTTAGTGAAAAAATAAATAAATATGAATTATACTTCGAAAAAGAATTGAATAAACAATAGTAAATTCGAACATCATATCTTGCAGAAGAACAATAATTAATTAGTACACTCCTAAAATCAATACTTCAAATATAGATATATCACATCAACAATTACAGCAATATACAACTGTATTTAAATATCAAGAACTTACAAATGTTTTTATCAGAAGCGCGATACTCGTTTCAAAACTGTACTGTATGCAATTTTTAAATCCATAATGTTCGAGTTCTATGAGAGTAACAATTAAAGATCTTAAGTAAAATGCAATTTTTGAGGAGGCGACAAATCATGTACCCAAAATGTTAAATAATACATTTTTATATAAAATAAAAAAAGAAAAATTGTATGGAAAACACAACCTGAAATATATTAATTAGTAAAATTTATTCAAATATTAAATTTAAATAATATTGTATATTGCATTTCGATTTGATAGTTTTGCATGGCAGTCCACCACATAAAAAGCATAACTTGAGTTGTTTTAGTAAATCGAGAAAATGGTTTGCGAGCGACAAATGTTTCGCTCGTTTAGTTTAATTTTATGTGCTACTATATGAACGTATTGATTTTTATTTGTCCAAGAGTTTCTTGTTGAGCGAAAATAAATCTAAAAATGTGTTCTTAAATTAGTTCAAGTACAATGTACCAAAGTGTTTAAACTATGTATTGTGTTGTCAATCGTAAAGTGTCGGTAGTTTTCTCGAATTATGATTTTCGTTTCGAGGTGTGTGTGGTCTTTGAATATATAAAATTGTCAAAAAGCATGGGATTTGAAACAAAATTTTATTTGTTGAATGCAAACAATTTTGAAAATAATATTACTAACAGGAGATGTTATGCTGAAACAAATTATAAACACTGTTATTAATTATACTTCTGCGGTATAAAAAATAGATGCAATACTACAATATCAAATTGCGATTTTATTGCAATCAGATAAAAAAAACAATTACGTATTACTGGAAATTACACAATTTATATATTTAATCTATTAAATTGCTTGAGTAGTAAGCAAAATGATCCATATTTATTATAAGGGCACGTTTATTTCAAAATGAAAGACAGTATGAATATGGTAGGAAGTTAATGGTACACAGTTTTGCTTGCATATAAAATAATACGAAAAATAAAATGTCATGGATGGAAAAACATTCATTCAAATATGTACATAATACCAGAGAGTGTAGTGCATATTGCAAGGTGTTTTCTACACAATTTGAAATTAATATAGATTATAATTGATTTATATATCAAATGAGATGTAAGAATCTTTGTGCCTGAAGTTCATTAGAATTTTGTTGGATTATTTGTCCATGAGTATCCATTCAGCTGTGACGATATAAAGAAAAATCTTGATTTGTTAATGATCATTATGATAGCAATGATTTATTTGCTTGGATGTGCCCGACTATTTGAAATATCTCTTTTATATGTAATCTTTGTAAACTTTCATTACAGTCCAAGATATTTAAGGGATCTCTTTAGTCTTGTGATTATGAAAATAGCTTTCAATCAAATAGGAAGACACCGCTCTGTTTGTCATACTGACTAGGCGTAGTGCACATGTCTAGAATTTCAGGCGGATTCATATTCTGAATAATATATTCTTCATTAAACATCAGAGATTGTTTACCTTCTGAGGTATTTTGAGGTATGTGGAAAAAGTGTCATCACAATTAATAGTAGTATATCAAACGCATTAATTGACCTTCCATCACCTCCATAT